TTATTCAAATATTAGGAAATGTAGCTTTTGCATATGATATGAAAGTGCGTATATAAATTTTTATAAATAATTCATTTTCATCTGATTTTAAAGTAGTCCGAGACTTCTCCTGCGGTACCACATAAATGTCATTATTATAGATGCTGGTGAAACTGGTGTCTATCTAAAATTTGATTGGCTATTATACACCATTCACCAAGAGTTTCACCAATTTCACCAGCATCTATAGTCATTACTACGTGATCAATAACAAAGTTTTTTAAATTTGTCCTAGATTAGTGTTAAGTCTCAGTAATTATATAACAAAATCGTTCAGGGAAAGCTTCTCGTTATGCACGAAAAGTAAATTTATGCAAACTTTTTGGAGAAATGAGCGATTTTTGACAAAAGATAATAATCACGTGATGATGACATTACAAAGGCAAAAAAATTTTCATTTTTGGTACTTCTGCACTTAACTTTTTTATACATCTAAGCATACCCTAAAATTATTGCATGTAACATATTATAGTAAGAGTTAGTAAAATTTTAGGTTATGTTTAGATATAGGAGTATCAAAAAATGAAAATTTTGTGCTGCAGGGAATGTTAATTATTTGGGTGACTTTAATCCAGATCAAAATAGAATTTTATTATTTTTTTATAACTGCAAAAAATGGTTAAATATTTACTTTTTTGAACAAAGGCACTGAATAGCTTGGAGGATCAACCATATTTTTTAAAAATATATACCAAAATTTTTGAACATACTTCGAATCCATATTTTGCAATATTTCCATATTTGAGTTTACTTCCTCTTAAAAAAAATATCGAATACTCTTTATTAGCTAATGAGTTTGACAAATTTCTATTTAATATGATCGATCAACGAAGATTTGATTTGTCTAGAGGTGAAAATAATAAAGAAAATACTGATTTATTGACTGGACTTTTAGAAGCTGCCAACCAAGAAAAATACGAGTACACGAATCAAGAACTTAGAGATGCAATAGCTACATTTTTTGTTGCAGGGCATGATAGCAAGTATTAATTTTATTATCATTGTGGCTGTTTATGCTGAAATTGACTAATGTTGAAATTTGAGTCCCAATTTAAATCTATAATATTCACTAAATTTATATATATGTTGTGGGGTTGATGTATAGATTTATATAGAGTAACTTTTACTCTAACATCTTCATTTAGTTAAATCAAAACCCACTTAAATTCTATTTCCACTTACAACATATATATACTTAATCCTAACATTATCCAAAGGATTAAATTTTAAGTTAAACATTCAGCATCAGCTCTTACTTATTATATTTATTCTAAAGAACAAATATCATTATAATTTAATTCTTTTTTGATACAGCTACTACAACTTCATTAAGCATTGTTTTTTATCATTTGGCAAGACACCCTGTAAGATAATTTTCATAATTTTGAATTATAATGTTGAATTTGATCTTATTTGATAAAAATATAAACATTTTCTTTTTTCAGGATATCCAAAAAAAAGCTAGAGAAGAAGCAATGAATGTTTTAGAAAATGCTTCAAAAATACCAACTTCTGATAACCTTAAGGTTTTTTTTTATTT